GGTGGACTGGTCTAAATTTGTTTCATATTTTCAAGGAGGTCTCTCCCAAACTCTATAAATAGTGCTCTACCCAAAGAAGGACCGGGAGAATAAGCTAAAGCACTGTGTCATTTCTACACCAAAGATCTGGTGAAGGCTTACTGCTCATGTAGCTGCAACCATGGTAGAACACTGCAACAAAGCCCCTTGCAAAATCATAATGTGCACTGTAGAACCCAGACATACATTGTTTAGTGATGAGGCATCCTGTGGAAAAACACACCCCTAAGATGGTGCAATGGTGTGCCTCAGTTACAGTGTGACAATGCACTCTAAAGAAGATGTAATAATGCACCCCTAAAATGGTGTAACAATACCCCCCAACAATAATTGTTTACAACTGTCATAGTCCTGATACAGTGATTTTCTTCATACTCCTAAAGCTCTTTCCTTGCAGTCCACTTCTGCAGTCTACGTGACCAACTACCGCCTAAGTGGCTTATAACTAATGCATCTCTCAACTCTAGCCTTGATGGTCTATGGATGTTATCACAGCTTGCATAGCTCCTAACTCCATCTTTTGTGACCTATATACATTATTGTAGCTCACCAATATAAGCTACGTGACCTAATACAACCTACATGGCCTACAACAGATGCAGCTCCCAACTCTAAATGTTATCAAATCTAATGCAGCTCTCACTCCAGTCTCTATGGCCAATGAAAGTTATTAAAACTCGTGCAGCTTCCATCTGTGGTCAATGAAATTTATCAAAACTAATGCAGTCCCCAACTCTAACATTTATTAGTTATATAAATTATTGTAAACTCTATGTCTTAAATATTATCACGGCTCATGCAACTCCCAACTTATGCATGTGTGGCCTATGACACAGCTCACCATTATGACTTATGTGACCAACTACATCATACATGGAGCACAAATCCTACAACTCTATAGTATAGACTATATGGCCAACCCATGCTCTTGAAACAACTTTCTACTGCCCACATGGCCAACTATTACCATGTCAATCAACTATGGCCTCTACAACAAGATAGTGCTATAACCATTTTCTACAACATTCACAATAAATTGATACGACTATTCTTATTGTAATATCATTGTACATCAACTTTCAAATTCCATCTTTCCTAACTTAGGAGAAGAGTGGGGATGTTTACTCACTATAACAAAGCTGATTATTTCAACTGTATCAGGCCTCATGTTTTTTTTCCCATTTTTTATTATTTTTCATGTAAAAAAATTTGGTGTCTCTACCCGTTACTTTAATTACCCAAGTGTGTGTGCTAAATTTTTATGTAATGTTAAGATGTTAAATAAGCACTATCACTGTGAATCTTCTAGCACGCAACATATTGATGCCTTCTGTAGAAAGTAAAGACCTATTTAACATTTTCTTCAATTCTGAGACACCAAGTTCCTATTTCATTTTTTAATGATATACTTCATCTAACTAGCAAAGGAGCCTCCTTTGCACCTCTTGAAAATTATTTATTTTATACTCTTTGATGTGGGAGGAAACCTTTACTACAATCTCAAAAAGTTGTTCACATTAACATCTTAGGCATGATTATGGTGGGGTAGTATCCCAACATCTTATTCGGATATAAAGATTATGAAAACTACTTCAGGCTAAGGGCAACCTTCATTGTAATCTCGATAGGTCATGGGCACGACTGTGGTAGGGTAACAATCCTATCTCTCATTTAGACATCAAGTCTTTGAGATCCACTTCCAGACCGATGACAACTTTCATTATAAGGAGCCATTCCTCAGCACCCCCTCATCATTCTAAAGTTCCTCTTCATTTGATAAGGATGTTATTCTCTTCAAGGTTCAAGATATGAGTTACTTTAAAATCTCATATGGAAAAAGCCATGTTGGGGGACAACTAATTCAAAAGCATCAACTAGCAAGTTACCAGACACCATTCTTGAGTATGGTTGCAATTGTATATCCAAGAAAAAGTATGAACCATTTAAACCTACGCTCCATTATCAATAAACATTGATTATTTTCTAACACCTCATGCTGGACTTAATTAGTTTCAGCGGGACCTCTTACATTACAAGCTACAGTCTCAGATATGTCAAAAATCCTTGGTGGATTGATATTAACTTCTGTCGTTGCAGGCTACAATTATCAAGCGTACAAGCTTAAACTAATAACCTAGAAAAGGTTGAGCATTCATACTGACAAACAAGATCTCTACCCATACCTCTAGAAGATGAGCCTAGGAGGCCAGTTACAATGAGAAATCGATAGTGGATCCATTTCACACTATAAAAACCCATTAAAGAAAAGTGACAAACACAGTATCCACCCATACCCCTAGAAGATGTCCCCAGGAGACAAGGCTCAATTGGAGGTTAGTAATGGATATATTCCTCACAAGAAAGCTTCTAAGAGAGTAAGTCTTTGACAAGGTCTCCACTCAAAAATCTCAGAAGTCTACTAGTCTCAGAAGATATAAGTATATCAAAAGGCACAAACCTCATAAGACACAAGCCTCAAAAGTTATATCATATTTCTTTATACAAAGCACATATGCTATTTTTGAATCCTGACTTCTACATATTTGGGAATATAAAGAATCTTAAAATGCATAAGCCTTGAAAGAGTTTGATGCCATTATGCTTCTACTATGGAGACAAAGGCATCAACATAAGTGTTGCAAAAGCATCTGAAGATGAGCAACCACAACTCAGAAGGAAAGATAAAAACTACCTTAAAAGCAACATCAAAATTTTTACTACACCAAGTAAAAGAAAGATGGACAAACAAATACACTATCACCATGTACGAATGAAATATCGGGTAATTAGAAAGCTACAACGACCAACACACATGAGTACAAAAACTATAACAAGATAGCAAAAATATAGACACCAATAGACGTTAACATCCTCTTTATCGTGGAGGTCTATCATTTCATGTTCTCTTCTTCAAAAGCCAACATCCTCATTTGAAAAACCTACAAAGTCTCTGTATTCTAGGTGAGCAGTTATCCTTTTTGTGCTCTTCATTGATATGGTTGATCTTTCCAAGTTCAATCTTCCACACCCTCGAAGAAAAATTCAACTCATTTTCAAATGGAGCTAGCATTGCCTCCTCAAAATTCTAGTACTCCTATATATTTTCAGGGGAATGAGATTATCAAGACATCAACATCTCAACAGCACAAAGAATCCTCTCTAGAATGTGTGGCAGGGAGACTCCAACTTTTCTTCACGAAGAATCCCCTCTGGAATGCACGTCAAGGGAACTCAAACTTTTCTTCTTAAAGAATCTCATTCAGAATGCGCGACAGACAGACTCTAACTTTTCTTTATGAGGAATCCACCCTAGAATGTGTGGCGGGTAAAGTTTAACTTTCTCATGAGGAATCTCCTCTAGAATGTGTAGCAGGGTGACTACAACTTTTTCTCTAAAAAGAATCCCTTCAGAATATGCGAAGATAAAACTTCAATAATTCTTTATAAAAAATCCCCTCTGAAATGAACATATCATTCTTGCAAAACAAATCATGACACCTCATTGAAAAATTTATAATTATCCAAATATGCAAGCAAAAATGAAACTCTAAATTATCTTTTGACTAAATACACAAATGAATAATCATATGATGAGATTTATACTATCCATTATATAATACATGGTCTTCAACTATGAGTTACACCTACTATCATGTCATTGTCAACAATCATGATATTTTGCATAGCCAATGAGGAAAACTGTTACTATTGATATCAACACTGATACCCACAATCAACATCAAAGTTGATGATTTCTATAGCCTCATCATCTTCTAAAGACTTTCTATTACTTCTATTATTTATTATTACAAAACATATTTACAACATTATATTTAAGCCCTCTTCATTTATGAAAAAAAACACATCCTTTATAATATATGCCTCAAATTATTGAAATAATTTTAACTGAGACAGCCCTCGTAGTTTCTCCCCCTTCTTAAATCCATCATGTAAGAAAATTTATGTTTTTTATGAGCCACCCATACACTATATATGTATGAGATTTTTATTCCATTTTAAGAAAATAAATTCTCTCTACAAATACAAATATTTCAACATTCAATCTTCAATATTGATGAAAATTTTTTGAATAAATTTTAATTAAAAAGTAATCTTATATATTTAAATTATCACATTTTATTTATATGAATTAGTTAGACTTTTTATATTTCCATTTATATTTGATTGCAATGTAAAAAAAAGAAAGTTCAATAAAATTTCAGAAGTAAAGTCACATTACCTAGCTCAATTTGATATATTTAATACCCTAAATATGATATCCCATTAGCATCCATATTTAGTGGTGTGCATTGTTCGGTTAGAACCAAAAAACCAATCGAATCAAATATTTTTAGATGATTTAATTCGGTTTATAAATTAATAGTTCGATATTGCTTCAGAAAATTAAAATATATGATTTTCAGTCTTTGGATCCTATCTTGATTAAAAGATTAAATAAAATTTTGCTAGCTTGCTACATATTATTAGCACATCCAGTGTTAAGACTTCAGATTCGTTTGGGGCAGCTTATAAGTGTGGGGGTGTTATTGAAAATATCGTGATACTGTTTGGATCACGCATTTTATCCGCTTATCTGAAAACAAACTTTTATTTTTATATTAAATATATCTCACGAGTAGAACCTACTACGATCGACCCACAGGCCACATTTCAGCTTATCCTCGAAGGCACAAAACACAGCCTTAAGTGAAAACTGCTCGTCATAAGAGAAGTGTTATTGAAAATATCGTGATACTGTTTGGATCACGCATTTTATCCGCTTATCTGAAAACAAACTTTCATTTTTATACTAAATATATCTCACGAGTCGAACCTACTACGATCGACCCACAGGCCACATTTCAGCTTATCCTCGAAGGCACAAAACACAGCCTCAAGTGAACACACCCTTAAGTGAAAACTGCTCGTCATAAGAGAAAGGCGGCAGAATAATATTTGCTCTTGTCATGGTCCCCATCAATCGTAAGCATACAAAGATTAGCGGTGCCCAACCAGAAGTGTGCAAGCGTGGAGATTTTATGGACCGTATGTAAATAAGACAATCCTAGCTCCAAAAATTTCCGCAGTTTCTTCACACACATTCCAGCATGATCTCAAAGATCTCCGGCCTTCTCTTCTTCCTTCTCTTCTCCCCCTTCTCCTCCTCTTCCTCTCCCTACTCCGACCTCTTCGAATCCTGGTGCCTGGAACATGGAAAGACCTACACCTCCGAGGCCGAGAAGCTAGCTCGCTTTCGGGTCTTCGAAGACAACTTGGCTTTTGTGGAGAACCACAACGCCGCCGCTAAATCAACCTATTCCCTAGCCCTTAACGCCTTTGCTGACCTCACTGTCCATGAATTCCGCGCTGCTCGCCTCGGCCTTAGCCTTGGTCTCAACCTCGAGCTCGCCAGCGCTGGAAATGGCGATCGGGCGGTCTTCCAGGGATACGATGCTGCTGTTCCGGACTCAATTGATTGGAGGGATAAAGGGGCTGTCACCCAAATCAAGGATCAGGGAAGCTGTGGTATATGTGGATCTGTGATCGATAGTTTTAGTTGGTCTTTCTTTTTATTTTAATTTTATCTTTTTCTTCTCCAATAAATGTTTGATAGTAGTTGCTTTTGGCGGTTGAAGTGATTGCTTGTGTTCTCTTTGTTGGATTAGTTGTAGAATTTTTATGGGTAGAAAAAAATTGCAGGTAACTAAGGTTTAAACTTTAGAAGGTCAAATAGACATATTTACAGCAAGAGGATGTCTAACTTGTCATTTTGATGGGTTATTTCAATTGCTGTAGATCTTTGCATTTCATTGTTTTATATTTTCATTTTCGCCACTTTATGAAAAAAGAGTGGTAAAAAACAAAAAAAAATAAAAATAGAAGAAATAACAAAATAGCAAACATATTTATGTAAAAAACCGTTGACAGGAAAAACAAGGGGCAAAGGAGGACAATTTACAATATCAAAGAAAAGAATATTACATGTAGAGGGTGTTGGCTCATCAAAAAAGGGGTTGTTTTTCTTGTACAAAGAGATGAGATATTTATAGACTTCTACAAATCCCTCTATACGAAAAAACTTAAAACGAGCCACTAAAGTAAGTGCACGCGGGTTACAATCTAAAAACTATTATAAGATCAATCCTATGGTAGAGATTTTCAATTCGTGTACTCATAATTTGCTATTAAAATGAGCAAGGCTCACAAAACATAGGCACAAATTTAACTATTTTTGTCTTGACACAAATTCCCAAAATATACATAGTAGATCTTCAATCTCTTATAAAATATTCTCCATATTTTTTACAAAATTCTAAGAAGCAATAATGAATATCAATCAAGTCTAAGCAATACTCAGACTTGGCTATTATGAGTATCTTAGTCATCATGTCAGCAGAATTATCATAGTTATTAATTTTGCTCATATCACAAACAATAACTTCACGAATGAAGTGACAACGAACATCAATGTCTTTAATTCTCTCATGAAACATATGATCATAACTCTCTTCAATTTTCCAAATATGTTGTGCTTGTATGTGTGAATGCTTATGTTGAACTTAATTATCTTTTATTTTTCAAATATGCAATGCTTGTAGGCATTTAATTTAGTAATGCTTTGGTTATCTAGAATTCCTCCTCTGCTCACTTCAACTATCTCATTCTCACTCATTTACCCAAGGCGCATATGCCAAGGTCTAATCATTTCATCATCTGACATATGAGAAATAGTAATTGTTTCATCACCGACCACTATAGAGCCTTACAAGATATACAATTCGGTAGTTTTCTTTTGCCCCTTCATTATGAAAAGAGAGTGTTTATAGATTTTCAAAACTTTACATTCACCAGAGCACTTATGCCATTTGCCATCAAGAGAGTACTTAAGAATATTAATGTTTCACATCACGAAGTGTCATGTTAACTTCATCAAACATCTTGAATCTAATAGTTTCAATACTATTATCTTATAATGAGCATTATTCCTCATTAACAAAATACCTCTAGACACTTTTATATGTTGAAAATCAAACCCCTTTAGAACTCTTATAAAATGTGTTTGTTGAGTCAAAAATCCAATCATCACAATGTTTACTATTAGAAAAAACGAGGAATTTACTATCACTACTTCACCAAAATGATCTAATTGTTTTCCCTTTTGATTGATGGTTGTTTTATTATTTTTTGTTTTGTAGTTTCTAGCAATCAAACTTGATATATTATTTTTTCTTATAATGATTACAGATCCTATTTTTATTCTTAGATTTTGATTTGTCTTTTGTATCAACACCAAAACTATTCTCTTGAGTTCTATCTCAAACAACAAGGCCTTCTCCCTGGTCAGTAGATTCATTCACAGTTTGTTTCATATTCTCTTTAAAAAATAGAGTATCATACTAATTGTCTTCTTATACAAATGATATCTCTTAACATTGCATATGATAAAGGCAACAAGCTTAACAAAATTAATGTCAATTCTTTTGCAGCATACTCAACTTTTCATGGCCATGAAATTAGAAATGATTCTTAAAGATAAGTAATTTATATTGGATATGCCTTCAACTATCCTATAAGAGTGCAAATGTTGCTTCAAATGCAACTTATTGGTTAGATGTTTGTTCATGCACAACTGTTCCAATTTCAGCCATAACACAACGATGATATTTCATGCACAATTGATCTACAAAAATGAAAATGAGTATGAGAGAAAGTCTTTCAATTCTTTTGTTGCTTTTTCTCCGGTATCCACGATGAAGAAATTTTATCAAATCTTAACCGCATTTTGTCTAAATTCATCTGTGCTAAAATAGCTTATATCTTAACCTACCAAAGTGAAATTTTTGGTGTTGTGATTCAAAATGAGGATGTCGTATTTCATTAGTTTTATTTCCATGATCAAATCTCTCTTTGATACCTCATGTTATGAAAAAGAGTGATGACCAACATGATAAATTAAAGTAATAAAGAAAAAACACAAATTTATGTAGAAAACCCTTAATAGGAAAAATTATTGGCGATGGAGAGTTCACTGTATCGAGAAAAGAAGATTACAAATAAAGTGTGTTGGCTCACATAAAATATCACTAAAGAAAGTGGTTGTTTTTCTTGTGCAAAGAGATTGTGTGCGTTCATAGACTTATACAAATCCCTTTATAAGGAAAAATTCAAAAGGAGCCAATAAAAAAAGAACACACGGATTACAAAAAGGCTGTAATAATATCATTCCAATTGTAGAGGCTTTTAATCTTTGTGCTAGTAATTTTATATTAAAGTAAGTAGTACCCACAAAATTGGGTCACAAATTTAACAACACTATTCCCTTTTCTTGTTGCAAAAAATTTGATCTGTTAAGATTCACATAGGAGTTGAGAATATCCCTAGTTGGATATGAATATTACTTGAGCTTTTGGACATCTATGTATGTTTGTGTTCTATATTTTTCATTTTCACTTTATTTACCTTTTTTGTTGAAGCAACTTTTGTGTATTAAGATTCTTACAAGGGTGGAGAGTTACCTTAAATCAATTATTTTTGTATTTTAGTGTTTATATTTTTCACTTTCATCTCTATTTTCTTCTTGAGATCCAATTAAGATTGGAGAATAGTCCCAAATCTATGACATTGGCGCCAAGTTCCCAACGCACTTTTCAAAGATCTTACTCATTGGCTTAAGCTTATGGAATGATAGATGTATGTATACTAACATATTGCTCTCAATTTGGTCATTTATTGTTTCACTCTTCTAAATAGTGTTATCAAAGCTGGTGATTTGGCTAAGATCAAGTGGTTATGCTACTTGTGACTCCAGTGGATCTTGATGGTCTTATAGCATGGCCGAATAAGTTAAAAAATCGTTGATTTCCACATAATTGGGTGGGCTTGTGGGACATGATATTTATACCGGTACACATATTTTATTTGAATGAATCATAATATATGAAAGGCGAATATTATGGCATGTGTGATATCTTTTTTATCAAATCTCTCACATAATCACCTTATCATATCACATAACCATGAAAATCATAAGTGACATGATAATATATTTTATGGAAGGTTAACATTGTTGCTTGCATGTGACCACATACACATTTATTCTTGTATATACCTTAAAGGATAATGTAAAAAGACTTCAATGAGGTATCATGCTTATAATGATCAGCATATGTTTCATTAAACATAGGAAAGGCATTGTTCTAATGTCAATAAGGTATCATGCTCATCATTTTTCACCTAATGAATTTCATTGATTCTCTCCACCCCAAATGAATGACTCTGACAAATCATAAAATATATTATATCGATCCATCTCTAGAGATCATCACTTGGGTTAAGATTGAACAGGTAAGCAACAATATGTAGCTTTGTGAGGTGATCAACATTGGCTAGAGTGCAATGTTGTAAGGAATTCTAACATGCCTTTATCATGTGGAAATTGGAGCCAAGGGCTTTGTTTACCTCTAGATGATGAAGAGAATTTCTAAACGAAACCATCAAGAAGTGCTTGTAGCTGGAGGTTGACTATGATTAAGTCAATGATGAATAACAAGGAGTCCAATTTCTACCATAGAGTTGATCTAAGAGATTTGCATGCTTTTGAAGCTAGCTAGTTGCAGGTGGTTGATGGCAGTATACAACCTAATGAGGAAGGGTTAGTGACAGATAGGTTGGAGGGTAGTAGTGCAACTTGTTTGTCTTGTCATGTCCAAATGGTTAGGTCATCTGATGGGAATGTAGATAATGATGTGACGGAGTGAGGTCAAGCTCACAAGAAAAATGGGTTCAAGCACAAGTTCGAGTGAAGTGATGCATCTTGAATTCATCTTATTTGGGAGAATTTAAAATGCAGAAAAATTTAGTTTTTTGAGGATTCCACATCCTTGAAAATTTTTTGAATGAATCTTACTTCATACAAAAATTTAAATAAATCACAACCCATGAATTCCTTTTATTTTGCACCCCTAGTTTTTGCAACCAAACCACCCTTAAATGCAAATAATAAATATATTATTAAAACTCAAATGATAATTTAATGATCTAATAAATCTAAAAAAATTTTGTGAAAAATCCAAATCATGTCAAATCCATGAAAATTTATAAACTAATGGTCTTATTGAGATTTTAAGTTTCATCCAATTTGAATGAAACCCCAAATATTAGCAAATTAATAACAAGTTATGTAGGAAAAATTTGATTAGGAAAGAGATGATACAGTACAAAGAGATGACCATTTTGGAATAAGAAGTCATATTTGTTTGAGGAAATCACACATCCAACTTAAATACAAAATTAAAATTGAACGAGATTGCATGCAATCGAAATTATCCAATTTTGTAGACTTCTTCGCTTTAGGTTAATTGAAATGGTTGGCACAAAATTGACCAAATTTAATTCCAGATGGCCTTTAAGATCATAAATCAGAAATTCAAAACAATAGAAAAATAATTTTTTTTCCTGAAAACAAACTAATTGACCAAGCAATTCTATGCAAGTGGAAATCCATAAGCTAAAATCCACAAATCAAACTTTAGCAAGGGGAAGAAATAACCATTAATATTACTCATAATACTAGACGAACAACCATAATAATATAGACATAGAGTGTCTATACCGCAAAACAAAAAATTCATAAAGGTTGTTATATTCTGACATGAAAGCTAAGATAGGTTTGTATTTGAATGACTACGTCTATATAATCTTAAGATAAATCTCTTAAAATGCGTCTTTGATGTAACTTCTGGGAAATTCCTGGAATTTGTAGTACGATATCGCTGGATTGAATAGATCCAGAAAAGATTAAGGAGATATTAGAAATGTCGCCGCCTTGAAGATAGATAACCATGGTTGTTACTCTATGAAATATCTATCTTATGCCAATCCTATATCTAATTTAATAGTAATGAAATTAGCACTAGATGGAACATTTATTTTTGAAGTAAAGAATGTATTTTCATGATTTTCATTGATATAGAACATAATACTACACTTTGGCATTTCACTACAATCCTAAAAGAAGACGTTTGTTTTCTTTAGTATTACAAACGTCTGTATAATATAATTGAAGCTAATAACTCCCAAAAACTTATTTCATAACAGTGATGCATAAAATTTTGTTACAGCTAAGATAGGTTTGTATTTGAATGACTACGTCTATATAATCTTAAGATGAATCTCTTAAAATACGTCTTTGATGTAACTTCTGGGAAATTCCTGGAATTTGTAGTACGACATTGCTGGATTGAGATAGATCCAGAAAAGATTAAGGAGATATTAGAAATGTCACCGCCTAAAAGCTTAACCCAGTTAAGATCATTTCAGGGCATATATAAGGCGTTTTATCTCTAACCTCGCTGGCAGATGCAACCATTTTCTGTGTTGACTAAAAGAATGTCAAGTTCATAATATAAGAAGATTTTCTCATCTTTTTTTTTAGATTTCTGAAATCTAATTTTATGATTGGAATATTACGATTGACTTTTTTCTTGCCATCTCTAATTGAATTTGATTTTCATTTCATTTAAGACAGAGAGAGAGTTTGAGAATAAAGTTTCTTTGTTTTCATTATTATGGAATCTAAAAAAAGTCTTGTGTAAGATAAGATCAAAGAAACAATTAGAATCCTCGGGTTCTTATCTTTTCACATCCTTCTCCATCATATAAAACAAAGAATCGTTAACAAAAGTAATCAAGAATATTAAAGAAAAAAAGACTTTAATAAAATGTATTCCTAAAACCATCATTTGATAAGAAAACCTAAAGTTAAATTACAATATAACCTTAATATTCATGACGCAGTCATTTTAGTTAGATTTAAACATACTATATTTAATCTCCTTTGACATCTAAAACCCCTTAGTTACTCAACTTAGTATCATGCAAAAATACCCGATGAATAATAATAACGTATGAGGTAACTATTAATATCATGCAACAATACCAGATAAATACCTATAAGAATATAGACCCAGTAGATATGCCACAAAACAAAAAATTCATAAAGGGAGTTACAATCCCACATCAAAGCTTTGCTTTAATTTCTAAAGCCACTTTTCGTAAGTGAACCTAGATTTGAATTGCATTATAATCTTAATACACATGAAGTAGTCATTTGCGTGAGATGTAAACTCATATTATATTTGATCTTTTTTACACTAAACCACCTTAATTACTCGCATAATATTATTCTTAATTGTTTTGATTGTATATTAATGATGCATATTATTTATTTTTAAGATTTGAGTAAAATAAAAATAATGCAAAATTATGCTTATATCATCCAAATTTTCTATTTATATATCTAACATCTACCCCTAAAGATTGACTCACAAACCCATGAACATTTACTTTCCGTGATGAAGTTATGGGCAATTTCATGAAAGCCAAATATATGGATTGGAGTTTTATTGTGCTTTTTCAGGGGTGGGTGATTGTTTTATAAATGAAAATAGTTGGGTGGAATTGTGTGAATATGTAAGATTTGTCTGCTACATAGAAAATTTCCCAATATTAAAATTTAAATTTTGCTAAATTAGTAATAGTTGGATGGTAATTGTGTACTCTCCTAGCATCTTTTTCTCCTCCCCTTTTTTGGTACAATAATATTCTGAAATGAAGCACCTCTCTCTTAGTTTTCCCTAAATTAAATTGTATTTCATGATGCCTTTTCCCCTTTCTTACAAAATGCAAAGCTACTAACTTGTCCATATTAATCCGTTTACATAATTTGGGAGGAATTATGTTCATCATGTATCATGATAATGAAGGTGTATGCAACCATATCTTGTATATCCTTTGAAGAAAAGGAAGATTAAGCTAAAAATGTCTTCAAAAATGCAAATGCAACAGTATAAACATGCATTATTAAATTTTGTGCATAATTTATAATCTTGTTACAAGACTTGTTTATAATATTCTAATATGATGTTTTACAATAAGAGAAGAACCAAATCTAAAAAAAGTTTATTACCCTAGTGCCAATCTCCGTCAGTAAAGCATTGTAGCTTCTAGGAGTGTGAATGCTATTTGCAGTGCTATCTTAGCTCTAAAACTATTCGTTTGTCATTATCTGTTTCAAAGCCATCATTATCATTAGCCTTATCTAAAGCTTGTAGTTTGTTTTTATGAATCATCCTACCCTCATTCCTGTAAATTCTATGAGTTTTTGATACCTAGGCTCTGTGCTTTCTTTTTTTCAGTTGGGTCTAGGCTGCAACTGATCGCCATTGGTGCTGATTCTGCTAGGTTCTAGTTTGCCATCAGGCATGTGCATGCACTACACATCCTCCCTAAACTTGCAGATGAGGATCTCATCTGCAGCAGGAACTGATTATGTTTATAGGTTTTAGGATATCATATCATTTCAGGTTGACTATTTTACATTATTTTTTTTATAAGTATACTAAAAATTCAGAAATTCAAATTTTATTTTTTTTATATCTGTAGAGAAACATGCATTTTTATTGTAGCTGTGCTGCTAGAACCAGCTATATTAGGTTAGGGCTGTAAAAAAATCCTGTCATACTTGTAGTTGTGCTGCATGAATGAGCAAGCATTATTTTTTGTAGTGATGTACAGAATGGTAAATAAACGAACGGGAATTCCTTATCATTTGCTGAATCCTTCAGTCATTGTTTACTAACTCTTTAATTCATTTGGGGAGCTAACAGCTCTGCTATTGCAAATATGCTTTAGTGTAATTTTTTGGGTCCATAAGCTGTATTCTGTCACAATCTTTTATATGAATGTAGTACCTCAAGTGCTTATTCTTTATTCCAAATAAAACATTAAATTTTGATCGAGGCTATAATTTTACTATTTCTACTTTCTTTGTTCCCTTTCCAAGCAGATAGTGGTGGTATCTGGCCTGTCATGAAGGAGTGTTAGTTTAATTAGTTTCAGTGATTTATGCCCAAATTCCTCTGCTAGATTCGCCCAAATTCCTCTGCTAGATTCAAGAAAGCAGTTTCCTCAGAAACTTGTATTATTATTTTTTTGGGTAGTCTCCTAGCTACAATAGTTCAGCAGACAAAAAGGGTGTTCTCACTTATTTTCCTTAATGATTTAACAGCTAATATTGTAGGAAGGAAGTAATGGATCTTCGTTAAGTTTTGAGAGCTTTGCTGTTGAAATAATTATGATAAATAATCAATGAAATGTCCCTTTCCTTTTTGCCAAATTCTACTAACATCTATTTAAAGGATTCTATACTTGTGGAGATGTTATTTTATTTTATTTCATTTTTTGCCCTCCAGCAAGTAATTTCAGCTGTTTGAGAAAGAACTGCACTGGATGCTGTTTATTTTTTGAGATTCTGTGTGACCATTTTACAGGATATAAATTTTTAACAGTCGGAACCATTTTTGACAGAATATCTGATAAAGAAGTTAACGGCCTTTTGCATAACTCACAATAAGAATGAATGCATTCCGGAAAAATTTTTAAATCACCTTATCTAGGTTGTCTTATTTTTAGTGGTTTAAATATTCACATGACAATCTGCTATTAATCACTGAATAAAAGCCTGGAGGTACGCTGATTTTCATTTTTAAAAAGAAAGGGGGTAACTTCTCTGTGAAAAGTTGCCTGTGGGAAGTACAGTAGGCGCTATCAAGTCATTGGTGTCTTATAAGTTAGCTGATCCAAATGCCCATAAGATTGTTGGTCACTCTTAACCTTTACAGTAACTCTGCCATCTTAGTTGAAGTGTTCATACAAATAAATGCTACAGTGATATTTGAATAAGGTTTTGTTTGGTCGGGCTGATGCCTATCTGCTTTCCAATCATAACCTTGTAAGAATTGCTTAATGGGCCATCACCTTCATGCATTTGTCAGAAAAGGTTGTTTTTTAAAGTAGAATTTGATAAGCAGCTATCTAATTTTTTTCTTTTTTTTTTCCACCCAAGTCAAACAACTTGTAGCATACCTGCCTTTTAGTAGTTTTTCTAGCCACAAAGCTGTTGAAAACCCAAACCAAGTGAGTTCCAAGTCTATGAAGTTTATGTTGTTGTACAAATAAGGCTGGAGTATTGTAGTTAAGCATCACTTACATTTTACTTGATAGAGAAATTTTGTCTGGAGCATTGATTTTGGTAAGTTTAAGCATCCTGCTTTTAGCATGAATGGCTTGGGTTTTTTATTGATATTAGTACAAAACCTGTGCCTAAACCATATAAAGGGAGATAATATCTTATAAATGATTATCTTTTCTTATAAAGAAGGTTATTAACTCCTAAAGGTGGTAACCGTCGTTATACTGTTTGGCTTAATGCTTATTCAATTGTCACCCCCTACTTAGGTGCTTGTTGGGCCTTCTCTGCCACCGGTGCAATTGAAGGAATAAACAAAATTGCTACTGGATCTCTTGTGAGCCTATCTGAACAGGAGTTAATCGATTGCGACCGAAGTTATAATAGTGGTTGTTCTGGTGGGCTGATGGATTATGCTTTCAATTGGGTAGTGAAAAACCGTGGAATTGATACAGAGGAAGATTATCCATTTCATACTGCAGAAAGTAGTTGTCTTAAAAATAAGGTACTATAGAACAACTGAGCAGAAATTGTTCATTTCACTATCAACTTTTTACACTGTTACTAGTATGAACTTATCCTACTCCATTTCTTTCAGTTAAGTCACCGGTTTGTGACAATTGATGGCTATACTGATGTGCCTTCGCACAATGAGAAATTACTGCTGCAGGCTGTTGCTACTCAACCAGTTAGTGTTGGTATTTGTGGCAGTGAGAGAGCATTTCAGTTGTATTCAAAGGTTTTAAATAGCTTTTCTAGTCTGGATCATTTCATCAATAAACTTTTTCTTAACTAGTTTTTTTTTTTTTTGGGGGGGTACATTGCACACAATTCTTATGTATTTACATATCTCACACCTAAACTTTCATATTTACATGCATAGCACTCAAATCTTTAATATCACATAAAAAATAGACTATTACCACCTTTTAAAGGTGAAGTCCGCTTGTTTATGCACAAGTTTAAAGCACCAAAGTGCTATGCATGTAAATATGAAAAATCAGGTGTGAGATATATAAATACACAAGCTACTAATGTAGAATTCCCTTTTTCTTTTTCCTTCCAGGGAATTTTCACTGGCCCATGCTCTACATCATTGGATCATGCCGTGCTGATTGTAGGTTACGGTTCAAACAATGGAGTAGACTATTGGATTCTAAAGAACTCATGGGGAACGAGCTGGGGAATCAACGGATATATGCATATGCTTCGTAATGGTGGAACTACTCAAGGTGTTTGCGGAATAAATATGCTGGCTTCTTTTCCAACTAAGACAAATCCAAATCCTCCGTCTCCTACCCCAGGTCCAACCAGGTGCAACATGCTGACATATTGTCCTTCTGAGACTACCTGCTGCTGCACGAGACGCTTTTTAGGGCTATGCTTTTCTTGGGGCTGTTGTGAACTGGATTCAGCAGTATGCTGCAAGGATAATCGATACTGTTGCCCGCATGATTATCCAGTCTGTGATAACGGGACTAAGCAGTGCTTTAAGGTTCTAAATTCTAACACCCCCGTTCTATTTAATATTGGAAGATTTACGTACATACCATTCAAATCTTATGTATTTATATATCTAACACCTAAACTTCAATTTTTCCATACATGCCACCTTACCTGTGCATGAAAACTTGTATTTCAATTTTAAAAAGTTAAAAATAGTGATATTTTTATGTGATATGAAAGATTTTGGTGGTATAATGTAATAAGCAAAGATTTGGTATTAGATGTGTAAATACATAGAAATTGAGTGGTCTGCAAGTAAATGCCCCTTTAACCTTGGAAACAGATGATTTTTTTTTTTTTCCATTTTCTTGATTTTGAGCTCTTAGATTACCTGACTCTTCAGCTGTGTTATGCTGGGTGATTTGTTTCCCGTACTCAATAATTTCTATGAACGGTTCAATTTGTTTTGTCAGTCACGAATCTTTCAAAAAATTTGTCCGTCCAAAATCTTTTCATGTAAATACATGCATCATAATTCAACTTCCCTACCATCGCGTTCTCCCACTTACTTTTGTTTGTGCCCCCTCACTGTAAATATATTTTACCATTTCTAATGTGGTCTGTTATCCTTGTAGAGTACCAAGAACTTCACTGGAGTCGATGGAATTGAAAAGAAAAGCTCTTTTGTGAAGTTTGGACCTATAAACCCTTTTCTTGCTCAGTGGGGTTTATAAACGGTAAATTGCTGTTCATGTAAGTTATGATTTCATTTCTCATTTGTTTGAATGAAAATTCATGCTTTGTTGCCTGCATGGTCTTTATTGATTTGTGTGTTTGTCTTCAGATCTGTACCTGATGTAAATGAACATGTGATGGCTTCACAGTCATTTCACCAAAACTCTGCTTGATGCTTGGAAATATCTTTAAATGCTTTATTTCAATGTATACCAATTAGATTTCTGAGCTCCAATGAAGATTTGCATTAGTACGTTGATTATCTTTTGTTGTGTTTTGCAGCTAATTTTCCATGAGATACAACAGTACATTATTACTTGCTGTAACATTTTAGCACACCTGCTGATATTTATATATTTGAAGTTTGTATGGTATAGTGTTTTTAGCTGGTTTCATTTTTTTTTATAATTTTTTATGATAAGAATTGTCTCGCCATATTCTTATATTTCTATGCGAGGATATTATGATTTTTTTTTTTAAAGGAAAGGCATATAACATCAACCAAAAACATCGATTTAATATAAAGTTGGGCTTTTATCTGTTGATTTTATTTAAACGAATGATTGGTCTTCATTACTTTCTCAAACTATGATTTCATCCAAATCAGATAATACTACATTAGAAAGTATATTGTTTATCTTCTTGCTTTATGGTATTCAAAAGATGTAAGCACCAGGAGCAAAATTGTCAGGAAGATTTACATACATTCTACTGAATTCCAGTGTATTCACATATCTATCACTTTTAACTTCAATCTTTATGGAATGCATGTAGAAGTAAAGTTCGGGTGTTAGATATGTAAATACATAAAAATTAGATGGTATGCGTGTAAATGCTCCAATTTATAATTAAAGGGGGATTAAAACAATAAAAGACTATCTTTTTTATTGTGAAATTAACTATATGGACATCACGGTGAGGGTATTACAAGGCATGGTGAAGAAGGTAAACTAACGCTTAAAATACAAATGAAATGTATCCATTTTATGACCGGAACATTTACTTTTCATAAAAATAACCACAGGCATTGTTAAGAAAAAAAATATATTGCTGTTATAACAGTCGGAAGATCTATAGACTAAAATTCTATATTATAAAATATTTAATATTATTATTTTTATTTTTTTTTAGTAGGAGTTGAGCCATTATCTAGCTTAAGTTAACCCCCTGTCATTTTCTCATTCATTACATGGAGTTGTTTTCTTTTCAAATTTAACAAGTAATTTGTTTAGAAATTGTAATATTTCAACTTGGGTTAATTATGGAAATAATGTTGTCATGTCAAAAGTATAATATGTAAAATTTGATTTAAGATTAGTTTAGTGCTACATTTCTGTTGATTTCTGATCGGTTACGCCCATCATAAAATAGCCAAAATCTGCCACAATTTTGTCTCACGAAGTCCGTTGTAAAAGCCTGGTCACGATACATTCATTCAAGGTGTCGTCGCAATTTTGTGATGGGCACTCTCTCATTAATATTTAGTAAAAGATTGCAACTATGCTTGTTTGAGATATTTGTAACTGTCTTGTATCATTTGTATGTGCTGAGTCTTATTTTGATATGAAACTTTCTTATATAGGATTTATAGATAATGAAAATTAGCATAAATCTCTCATTAAATAGATTATAGATACACGTTAAAATTAGCTTAAATCTTTTAATAATTATGAGAGTTGAAATTCTTTTCAAATTGATATTTCATTAACGTTGAAAAAAATGCAATGATTATTTAGTAGTATATGAATAAGATTAGTGTTGGATCCTTGGGTGTCCATGAGAATCACTTGGGCAAGAAAAACCTAAAACTTGAGATATGAAGAGATAGGGTGTTGATACACTTAAAATATATAGTGTTTTATACACATTTTTATACTTATTTTTGATATATTGCGCTTTAATGTAATGATTTTTGTGTTTTTTTCTTCAGGTACAACTAAAAAGGTGAAAAATGACAAAACGAGTGAAAAAAGATCAAATATGGAGCAAAAATGCAAAAATGGTGCAAATGTATTTTGGGGCCTAAGCTCTCGTGAAACAGAGAAGGTTGTGTTTAAGCGCTAGAGGCTCCGCGCTTAAGCGCCAGTGATAGTTACTTGACGGGTTAATTCATTTTGACAAATTTTGAAGGGACGTTTGACGCACCTATTGACTAAAGAATGTGGTTATGACCACTAGAAACGAAAATATGGTTAAAAGACTTGTGAAAGGAGACATTCTTTGGGGAATACATCGAATTTGGACACATTTTGAAGAGATATCAAGGCACCTCTTAGAAAACTATAAAAAAGAGAGACTTGGACTTCTCAAGGGATGTTTCTAGTCTCCTCAAGGGCTGCTTCTAGTCTCTTTAAGTGTTTCTTTTAGATTCTTCTTTGTTGTGATTTCTGAGAGAGATTGTAAGACGTCAATATCTATATTTATTTTAATTTTAGTTTCTAGTTTTTCAGAGTTAAGTGTTGTAAGAAGAGAAGAGATTCAAAGGAACTTCAAGAGTTTTGTGAAGGATTTGAGATAAGTATTTATTTTTTTGTTACTATATTTGGTTTTAATTGAGACTTCTTGTTGGTTTGACAATGATTTCTGCTTTTAAACTAAAG